GGCTTTAGACTTGCCACAAGTCTCTAATTTATTGATTTTTCGTAGTATTAGAACATTTCAGAAAACGCCACCAGCGTCAGTTATATCGAGAAACTTTTTTGATGCGAATTAGAAAAATCCAAGAAAAAGTGTACTATGAAACACCAAGCAAATAGGTAATATGGAACACCATTCCTGTAGCACCAGTTTTTTGAAATGATATATGCCATTTCAGTGAGTAAAACAAACATTTTTGATATTTTGACCTTTGACCTCGTTTTCGAAGGCCATGAATTGATTATGAGCGTTTTTATTTATTTTATTTTCTTATTGTTTGTATAATTCTGTGCATTTTGACACCAAGATCAACCATATACCATAGCGTGTTGTTGTTCTTGAGATAATGTATTAGTATTTTAAGCAAGGGTCAGTGACCTTTGACCCCTCATAAACAAATTTCCGCGACCCTAACTTTTTTTTTTGTGGTGTATACTGGTATATATCCCTACACAAATCAGTTAAAAATAGCTTCTTTCTAATTTCGGCTAATTTTTGCATACTAGTAAAGTATTCCGGGTTAATAATAATAGTTACCTGTTACTGTAAACAGTGAGTTTAAATCTGCACAATGTAGGACTTGTGCAGGATATTTATACTTGCATTTTGGAAGCCACCAACCACTTGGACATAAGTGGGCGTTATTAGAACCCTTAAACACTAAGCGAATGTGACTTATACGGAACCCCTAATGGGACATGGTTAAAGAAAATATTAAACTATTTCGAGAAAACGAAATAATATTTCGAGGGAACGAAATATTATTTCGAGGGAACGAAATCATTTCGAGGGAACGAAATAATATTTCGTTCCCTCAAAATATTATTTCGTTCCCTCGAAATATTATTTCGTTCCCTCGAAATCATTTAGAGCAAACGAAATCATTTCGTTCCCTCGAAATATTATTTCGTTCCGTCGAATTTCGTTCCCTCGAAATAATATTTCGTTCCCTCGAAATATTATTTCGTTCCCTCGAAATATTATTTCGTTCCCTCGAAATACTATTTCGTTCCCTCGAAATAATATTTCGTATATGGAACGCCCACAGTGCCTTCGGCGTCGGCTGTTCGTCATGGGTGGTGCAAGGATTTTCCCAACGGTGGGGCCCGAGGTTCCCGGCTGGGGCTCTATGCCCAAGACAAAAGCAAAGTGGGTGTGGTCGAGCTTCGATTAAAAGGTTTTGACAGTTTATAAATTTTGTAGCGGAAACGGTTTGGTGTCCCTCGAGGTCGGGGTTTCAATCCCTCGCTCTGCATTTCGCTTGTGTCCTTGAGCAAGACACTTTATCTGCATTGCTTCTCTTCACCCAGAAGTAGGCCTATAAATGGGAGCCTGGTGGGGTTACATGCCCCTGCGCTGATTACCAGCAGCAACACTTAGCCTGTGGACCCAATGATTAGGGAAAAAGAACTTCAGTGCTTTGTAAAGTTAGGATCTACGCAGGATGGAAGGGCGACATCAACAAATGAATAAATATTCACAATTTTTTTTCTCTTTTGTGGGGTAACCCACCTTTATTTATTATCATTTTCATCCTTGTATTTAAGTCCATGTACATAGAATACCATTCTGTAATTATTTTTAAAAAAAATATAAAAACAAAATTGTAAATAATAATATTCACAGTTTGTGTGAAAAGGAAAGATGCTTGTTGACATAAAAAAAAAAAACCAGAAGAAATCAGTGTGTCTTGAATAATAGTAGAGCAAACAGCCTCTTTAATTACACACAAAGCAAAACGAAAAAAAACAAAAAAACAAAGGACAACCAGGAAAGTGATGTACAATAGCGGGCAGTGAAATTGTTGGCGTCACAGTTCAGAAACGATTACAGATTTCAGACGTTTTGCCGTAACCACATAGTTACCAACCGTCTTGCATTTTGTGTGACGGTCCCGCATTTCACAGTGATTTTGTTTGAAACACGCATTTTGCAAGAACACATGAGTAATCATAATTTGTCACGCATTTAGCACAGGTCCATGTGTGACAACGAATTATCACAAATTCAGGGGAAAATGTATTTAAGATTAGATGAAATTGGTTTTATTAAAAATATAAAAATGGTCATGCAGTAACTTGAGTCATTAGACAGTATTTAAGTAATCAAATATTTGTGTACATAGTTCAGGTGCTCAGATTAAACAATGAACATTGAAATTCAAATTGTATGTGGCTCTATTAAAAATATGTTTGTTATATGTACCTTGTGCTGTCAACAAATACCCCCTTAAATCTATTTTAAAACAGCTTAAAAATGCTCAGATCGTCGGAGCGCCAGGGGCCTGGACCCCACTGGGGCCCTGGCACACATTTCAAATCTCTCAGGTTGGTAACTATATGTAAGATTTGTGAAACTGAAAAGGCAACTAGAAATGCTACTTTACGCTGCACAATAAAAGCATAGCCTCCCCACATTGTGATTTTTCTCTGAGAATATGATGAGTACTATTTTGAAACCAATCAGTCTTACCAAGCTTTAGTTATCATGGTAAAAACAATTTTCTATGGGAATTACGATGGCATGGTAAATTTCCTCATTAATGACATATTAATTATGCAATTAGCATAATCACACACATACCAAAAACCATAGGCTACATTTGCTACTTCTCGCAGTTATTAATAAGTAATTACTGAAAATAACACTGGCATCCCAAAATAGGAGATACAATTTGTGGCATACACAGGAATGTTTTGGTTAGTAATTGTTTTAAAATTGTTTGTATAATTATGGAAGACTCCCTGTTCCCATAGCTTCACTTGGCCAATCCTCATGGAGACTTGTCTGAAGCACCTACAAAGTCCACCCACCATCTATTTTAACTTCAGTTCCAGAGATCAATTTCGACTGTAGAAAAACAAATGGAACCAATAAATTTAGCACAATGGTTTAGTATCAAATGGCACTTGTTAAAACAAAATAAAAAATATATATTATTAATAATAATAGTAATATTAAGTAATTAAAATTAAAAAAAAATATTAAATAATAATGGTGAAAACTACAGAGATTGAGTTGGTGATGCAGGTACTGTAAGTATAAAGATGATGAAAATATTGATAGTATGATAATGGTGATGATGTTAATGATGGTGAGTAATTATTATAATATTATAATCACGATAATAAGCAATTAGTAGAGCTCCGCATAGTACACTATAGGAAAATTATTATATGAAGGTTAGATTTAATGCTTGATAAAATTTCCTGAGGGCCTGCAAGGCCTGAAGGAAATTTTTGAATGCATTAAATCTAATGTAAGTATAATAATTTTCCATTTAGTGTACCATGCATGCTCTACTATTACTTTATAAGTGAATCTCCGTCTTTTAAATTTAGTTTTTTATAACCAACTGTTGTAGCAGTCATCGGTTGCTATAGTGATATGATCAGTATACGAGTGCGTATTTACATTTAGCTGTGCGTATGCTGATTTTTGCTCCTGCAGTACGCGTTTAACTACACATCAGCAGTAGAGTACGGATACGATGAATAACTATTGTGGTAGAAAGAACTTGTTTGTAATACTATTTTGATAGACTTTCGTCAAAGAAATAAACATTTCAGCATTCGAGAGAGAATACAGTCACTGACGTCCCTTTTGGTCGGTGCATGCATACAGGTAAAACCGTGCGATGATGTCATAACTAGGCCTAGGCTAGGCTACAGCCTTGTTTGTAAGAGGAGGTCTGTGCGGCCTCCTGTCTGGCCATAAGCCTACAGCTAAATTTGTTCCTTGAGTTTTTAAAATAGGTCTAGAATATTCCTATTAAACGTTCAGTTTGTTGTGTTTATGAGGGTCCATTGATTCAATGAATTCCTTTTAAATTAAATTGTTCATACTTAATATTGAATTTGAAGTAACTTTCTTCGGGTTCTAATTAAACTTGTTTTACAAAAGTAATTTTCAATTACAATTCAATTTTTATCGCGATGTATTTGCGGTGACGAAAAAAATAGGATTTTTTTTTGCACACGAACCTAAAAAAAATCAAGCCAAGCATTAATAGAAAAATTAGTGGACACTGGGGAATAGGCAAATAACATTGGGAGTTACAGTGATGACGTCACAAATAATAATTATAATTTTGTTGGTACTGGGATCATGATGATTATGATAATTGGGACATTTTTGATAGAGACGATGCAGTGGTGTAACAAAAAAAAATCCTCTGAGGCCCCTGGCTAAGGCTCCTTCAAAGCCCTACCAACTTGGGGAAAAGCCTAACCCTCTTTGGCGTATTTGACGTTTTATGGAAGTAATTTTGATGTGGATTTTTTTACAAGTTAGTGCTCTTTAAAAAGCTCTGATGTATGAGGCACAAATCCCGATAATTATCGCCTAGGATCACAGATACACCACTGAGGTGACATGGAGATATGCAGAGATAATCAAGATTATGATGGTGAAAATAATGAAAGATATTACAAATATGATGGTAACAGAGAAAATGCTATGATGGTAATAGCGATAATGGTATGATTGTGGCAGCAAGGCCAAAAAAAATGTTGTGTGTTTGCCCTCCTCCACCCATTCCTAACTCACTGAAAAAAAATAGAGGTGGAAAAACAAAAAAACTTGAAAAAAGGGGTTTTTTTTAGCTGTTTTCTTTACAATTAAACAAGAAATATTTCCTATTAAAAAAACAAAAACGACCCCTTCAACCCACCTGGATCCGCCACTGTTATGTGTGAATTTTGTTATGTTACTTAAACTTAAATTAATTCCAAAAAAGGTACAGCGTGTAACGAGGTATTTTAATGTTATTTTATTTCATTTCCCATAAATACCATGAGATTTCAATTACTGTATTTACGATTGTGATTAAATTAATTCAAAAGGGTATTTTTGTTTAATTTGGTTTTCATTGCCATAAATCAATTCCAAAGGGTTCTATAGCCTATAACAAGATATTATAATATTATTTTGGTTTCATTTCCGATATACCATGACATTCAAATTACCGCATTGATTGCCTCAATTCTTTCATTTGGATTTTCCTTGTAGTATAATTCTGGCATTAATTTTATTATTTATTTTCTAATTTTTAACATTTTTATTCACTGCTGTTGACAGACCAGGGTGTGTGCGGTAAGTTAATTAATTACGTTGATAACCTTTAGATGTTTCATCATCAGCTATTGCAGGTCCACATTGCATGTTGACGCCAAATCAATTTCATATCAATCTCATCTTTTCATCTTTTATGTTGTCTTCCCTTGTTCATTGCCATCCATATTAATAATAATAATAATACTATTAATTATTTTTAATATTATTTTATAATTATTTGTATTCATCCCCTTCTGCACTAGCTTGGCTAGGCCCTTCTCTACTTAACTACTGCCATCAGTGTGTAGCTATTTTTACGGGGTCAACAGAGCATGGGTACGGTATTTTGATAATACTAATAGTTAACCCTAACCCTCTATAGTGTATCTCTCAACACAATTAATGTGGAATAGCCTGGCTTTACTATTTGGCTTGCCCTACTACTTGAGTAGTAGGCCCTAGGCCTCTGAGGTTGTGTCGTCAGTTTCTGTGGTTATTTTTTATTGGATTGTCAATGCATAAGACTACGTACGCAGCTACGACCAAAGAGCCAAAATAACTTTTTTTTGCGCAATTCTCCCTAACGAACCTTGATGAACCTTGATGAACTGTAAAGATAGCCAAAATAGAGGCTTTCCCATTTCTATATCATAACCTCTCTCAGACGCTATTTGGTTCCTGAGATGTTTTTCGGTAACTGATACCCTCTTTGCAGACGCTATTTGGTTCCTGAGATGTCTTTTTAGTAACTGCGCATGCTCGATATTGCTCGACAACGACAACAACTTTCTCATTGCGCATGCTCACTGGCTGTCTAGCATTTTCAAGCACATGCTCACTGTGTTTTTATAGATAATTTACAGACATTCTTTGGTAACTGCAAATACAATTCATTTATAATATGAAATCAGCAGAAATGCAATTTAAATTAGTTAACAATAAAATGCCTAAATTGACAAAAATGTAAAATATTACGGACATTAAAAAAGTTTCACAAAAAAAAGATGATACACTGTTATATTAAACATTGCACTTCATAACTGAATTAAGTGTTTACCTAAATGATTTCCTTTGTACTTTTGAATTATTATTATTAAAAAATGCTAAGAATGATGATAATTTAAAGTTAAAAAGTTTGTGAATCCATTATTATTATTATTATTATTATTATTATTATTATTATTATTAATATTATTAATTATTATTGTTGCACTTTTCAATTATTACCATTATTATTATTATTATTATTATTAAAATAATATTAATGGCATGATGGCTAGTCAAAAAGTGAAAATAGTATGATGGTGATAGTAATCATGGTATGATGGTGACAGTGTTAATGCTATGATAGTGACAATGGTAATGTTATGATGGTGATAGTGATAATGGATGGTGATAGTGAAATGGTGATAGAGGCTATGACCATAATAATAATGATGGAGATTTTTATAATTATGATGGTTAACTGTTGATGCCAATGGTAATGAATGATTTCAACAGCAATGGTAATAACAACATTGACAGTTAATGATAATTAAATAATGTGTTGTAAAAATGTGGATGATCTACAAAACAATAATATTTTGGTTGTTATCAAAAGTATCAATTATCAAAATTATGAAGAAACTAAAGATTCACAATACCTCATCGGAAGCAAGGAAGACTATAAGGTTGGCAATATCATCTGCTTTTGCAAGTTCACCAGTAGGTTGGCGAGCAATAAAATCAGCTACTGCCTAAAATTAATAACAATTACTTTAATGATTGCAATTATAATCACAACAATAATTATAAAACAGATGATGGTACAGTAATTACAATTCATGATTACTTTAATGTTTTTCACATATAAAACTCAAATAACAGGTATGAAATAGTTTGAGCTGATTTCAATGGAGAATAATGGAAAACCTACCAAGTAACCATATTCAAGATGCACAACATATAAATACCTAGTTAACTTGTGAGAGTGTTCAAGTTATAATGCCAATGTTGAAATTAAATAATTGATTGCAGTAGAATTCCTATTATGGGGACACTTTCAGGACTTAAAAAGTGCCCCCTTAGGGGTTTCCATTGAATATAATTACTCCTATTCAGGGGACACTAACAAAAAATGTAAAATTGTCCCCTTAATAGGGGTTTTTTAACATGGTTTTATACAATTATATTTTTATTAACATAAGAATCAATTACAGTAAAATTAGAATTATTTTTTGCAATGCAAATACGATTCATTTATAATATAAAATCAGCAGAAATGCAAATTAAAAAGCAGGTTGTGCCAGCAGGCGGCAGGGAAGGAATTTGCCCCCCCCCCTCCAGTCGGTCAAGCCTGGACCTCCCTGCAGTTGAATCAAAAAGGTTAAAAGTATAATTTTTTTACCCAAATAACGTTATCTTGATTGCCAATTCCTAATATTGTGGTTAAGTGCACAATTTGAACCATGTACTAAGCCATAAAAACTCCAGTCGGCCCCCTTGGTTTGAATTGGACCCACCGTTGGACATGTTTGACCTCTTGTCGGCAAATTTCTGGAGCCACCACTGATGGACACAACAATAGTTTTATATGTTCTCAATATTATGCAATGTTAATGACCAATTTTTTGCTCCGATGAGGAGCTCTAGGAGTACCCTGATGATTGTGTGCTTTTTCACGGCTTAGTGAGTTTCAGCAAGGAATGTGCATTACTGCCATTACCACTTTCATACACTTTGTATGGATGGCGCATTTTGTTTAACCGTGCCATCCATGCAACGGTTTCATGCGATGGTTATAAGGAACCAAAGGCTGAGAGTTCGAATCGTGTCTTGTATTCAATTGTTTTTATTTTTTTCCAATTTTAAGACTTTCTTTTTTAATTTAAAGACGTTTTAATTTTGTACAAATTATTTAATCTAAATTTTTGAAAAATTCTCTCTTATTATGAGGAGATCTAGAAGTACTTGGCTGATTAATTAATTAATTACAGTAATCTTATTTTTTTGTGAAGTGCGCCAACAGCAAAGGCCTGTTACATACTGCCATTACCACTAAAGAGGGCACATCAGATAGATGGCGCGTTTGGTTAACAATGTGTTCTACTGAACCAAAGGTCGTGAATTTGAATTTTGTACAAGTGAACATTCTAATTATTTAAAAATTTCTATTTAATATAGCTCTTCTAATTTTTTTTTTTTGCCAAACAGCTTTTAAATATCTTAGAATGTTCATTTTAATATAAAAAAAAAATTAAACATGAGGCGCAATTCGATCTCATGACCTTCACTTACTTCCAACACAGCGTTAACCGACTGTAATAATAATAATAATAATAAAAGTGTAGTTTTATATAGCGCACAAATCCATCTAATGTTAGATGCTCAGGGCGCTTGAAATGTGGATTAGGAACACGATCAATGACTTTCTTCGCCCCTAAGGGTCCCTTCATGTCTGTGTAACCCGGTACCAGCAACTCTCGTCGTCCACCATTTATACGTGTCCTGTTTGTGGTATTAATTAATAACAATTATGAATGTGTACCGAAAACCCAACATAATATTAATAACTTGCGTCACTGTGTACAGTATTTAAGCATGGAGAATATTTAGTCCATGATTTATGCATTAATATACTCTACTGCCTCTATTATACTGCTCTCATCACAGCTTTTGCGATTACAAGAACATGTTTTTTTAAATATTGGGCTTAATATTGGATAGTTGTATCATGAATAGAGTAAAAACTTAAGAGACACCTGATCACATACACACTGTTGAGCTTTGGAAAAGTATTAATATTCACTAAAAAGTCTGGCGGTGGCTGAATGATACTATTTTTTCAAACCCCTGGCGGTCAGAGTGTTAATAGGGGTGTCCCCTGAATAGCGGTGTCCCAAAGGAGAGGTTCTACTGTATGTATTCTAATTTTTATGATGCACTACCAAAAACATTTTATAATTTTGTACTAATTCAATTAAAAAAATACATTGATGTTGTTAACAAACTATAACAATGTAATTTGCTGCCAAAAAATAAAGGCCTTTTTACGAATATGACTTGCTGAATACTTTATAGCTAATTATTGTTTGTGTGATTTTTTTTACAATTTTCTATGCATAATATCGTTGAAACTAATTAAATTTATTTTTTTTCCAATGACTTTATTACCTTTTCTTCATCACCAGTGGCTCTAATTCTATCCCGGAGAGAGGGTGTATCAACAGTACCCGGACAAACACAGTTGCAACGTATCCCTTTCTTGATATAGTCAGCAGCAATTGCCTTCGTCAGTCCAATCACACTTGCTTTCGTAGCTGAATATGCACACCTGTTTGGCACACCTTTCATTGGAAATAAATTTAATGTATTGATAATATTTTTACTTGTCTTTATATTTAAAAAGATGTCAATCTGAAACACATAATAATAATATGCAGAAATTTATAACGCGCAAATTCAAAAACATTATCAAAGGCACAGTGAACAACTAACCCAATTAAAGCGATTTTGTAAACAAATACATTTTCAGATTAGTTTTATATGAGTTTAAATTTGAAGATTGTGGAACAGAAAGAGGTAAAAGATTCCAAAGATAAGGTGCCCGAACAGAAAAAGAATGTACTCCATATGCTTTGAGCTTTTTCTTTTTTGAAGGGGCTTGAAAAAAAAATTATTGGAAGAACGAAGTGTACGAGTTGGAAAATATGGCGTAAGAAAATGCAGCAAATATGATGGCTGTTTAAAATGAAGTGATTTAAAAACAAGCAAAACAATCTTGAATATTATCTGTTGTTAAGAATGGGAAGCTAATGAAGGTCTTTAAGAATGGGGGTAATATCTATTTTACATGGAGTAAGCGAACATATCCTGGCAGCTGAATTTTGAACTTTCTGTAAACAAGCAAAATCAGGCAAACCGACAAGCAATGAATTACAATCACCTAAGTTAGTGGAAATAAAAGCATAAACTAAAGTTTCTGTGGACTATTTACAAATTCTCCAGATGTTTCGAATAAATAAAAATGAGGATTTACAAACAGAGGAGAAATAAGGAACAAGTGTGGGATCACACCTCCAGATTATCAAGACAGTTTTCTTACCTTTAATTGAACTAGCCGCTGATGACATGTTAATTATATTTCCTCCACCATTAGCAAGCATCTAAAAAATAAAATCAATTGCAATGATTAAATTGATGTGTTTTAGTTGTCCTTCCTACTATCAATAATAGGCAAGATTTTTATACTTTACTTAGCGAACCTGTTGCCTGTCAATAACATTGATTTTGAATATAAAATTAAAACTTTATTTTTGGCCAATTAGCCCACCCACCGCCAAGGGTAAGTGGAAATTTCAGAAAAAAATAAAAGTGTTTTCTTTATTTTTATTACGCCCGCCGCTGCCTTAAAATCCCCTAAAATAAGATAAGTATGTTTTCTTCCTAATTATATAAATTTTAAGCATTTAACCATCGCATTACTACACTGTTTACATTCACCGGTAAAATATTATTTGTTTTTTTCTCCGTCTGGATGTTTTTGGCAAATAAAAATATTATTTTCACAAAACAAGGTATATATATGTCTTGCCTTACCTTAAAAATAATAACAATAAATCAATAATAGCAACATGAAGAATATTATTTACAATAATGGTATTACTGCATTGTATATTTTATACTCTGTTCCGCAACCTTTTTAGCCTACGACCCAAATTATATGTCAAGCACTCGGACGCGACCCATCGAACCCGAAGTCAACAAAACGTCTGTCGTTTTATATGTGCGAGGGATAGCGGGAAGAACCACCCACTTTCTTTTGTGATTTGATTAAAAGATATTATCACGCACAAAATCACTACAGTATGTAAAACCCATATAAATTAAAATACAACTTTAAATACAACTTTAAATTACTCATTTAACAAAACCATGTAAGTTATGAAATTTCTTCAAGTTTTAAAGATTTTTAAGAAGTAATAATCTGCATACATTTTATTATAAATTCCTAGTGCTGCCAGAGATTTATGGGTTATGTGAAGACACAGACACATTCAACTTAAAAATGTTTTCTCATTATAATTTGCAGCTGAAAGCCTAACACATTGAAATGAACAAAACTAATACTTTAAAGTTGTCATTCCTGAAGTAAAAATGTTTTGAGAGTATATTTTTAACATGAAACTGTGATAACGCACGCATAACAAAAGTAAACTGATGCACTTGTCACACTAACTTTGCACTTTCGATTACTGTATTTAATTTCGTTTGTCTTCTTCGTGTTAAGTAAAGTTTTCACAACAACACGCCCTTTGACCCGTAGAACAGGCCTACAGCTAACTTTTTGCATAAAGTTAATTTTATCGAGCTGTTTCATGAAAATAATCACACAATTATTAATTAATATTCGAAAATAATAAGTAATATAGCTCCAGCGAAGAATTGCAAAATTCATGTTCTTTTAATTCACAATTGAAGAATTACGTTCGCCACTGGTGGCGCACCATTGAGGTCAACGAACTCAACTCGGGAAAAATTATACTGTTTGAAAGCATGGAGGGCCATGTTGTTGGTTATGCTGTATATATCTGTGAAAAACGGTGGAATGGCCGATGTTGAAAGATATTTAAAGGTATGTTGACTTCTTTTTTAAACAGTTTTATGTGATTGTGATAAAAAATCATATATTCTATATTCAATTTTGTGACTTGGAAATGGATGGTTTAGAGGCCTGCGCTGCCTGCACTCGATGTTACCTTACCTGGCCTAAGCCTAGCCGATTTCCTCGAGCCATTTTTTTTCCTGTACTAGCTAGGGCCTAGACTAGGCCTAGGCCAACCGTCCTTAAAATACCTTAGGTCTAGACCTCAGTTAAGGTTTTTGAAGTCAAGCTACGTACACCTAAAAAAGACTATCGATATTTTAACAAGAATTAAAAAAAATTAGGTTACATACATTTTGAGATAATATTTTCGTTATTTTTTGTTTACAGACTTGTTTGCCATGATTGAACTGCATCCAAATTCTGCTCTTCTCTTAGAAGCAAAGAAGCTACTAGACTACTACTACTGTTGAATACAATATTAAACTAACAGATGCCAGAAAATTGATGTAATCAATGATATTGATGTAGTAGGCCTAAGTGTAAATAAATGAATAATGTGCAAAGTTAGACTAGGCCTACTGTACAGATTAGTACAGTAGGTTCCAGAATTTATGCAATTTCATGGTATTAATTTACATTGTGTAAATAAAAATAAAAGGAAGAGCAAGTTAACCGTGTGTTTGATCATTGAATGTCAAGTATTTGTTATTATGAGTAGTTAAGTATTGGCTGCAACGCGACACGTTTTGTATTTGCAGGCGGCCAAAGGTTCCTGACAAAATCCCCTGCGAATGGAGTTCTTCAACTTGGGACCCCTGCAACGAGGTATTTAAGGGCGTTGTCGTTAAGCGGCTAAAAGGTGAGACAACCTACCTGATGCCGCACACTCTCTGATGCACACATATAATTTCAAGTGTCGTTAAAAGGGTATTAATGGAAGTGCAGTTTGGTGCTCCAAGTATGATCCTCATGGCATGACAGTTTTGAATTTTGTCGATGTTGTGTAAGCTGCTGGTAACCCATAATAAGGCACCATTAAGTCAATATGTGTAAGAATTAAAGTTTTCTTGCTTCTTGTGCTGAAGACCCCAATTCAAACCAGGTCAGCAACGGGTTTAATTGGAGTCTCATCGCTCATCGAAAGACAATGTTATATAGGTCATTTAATTTTATATGTTGTGGTTAAGTCGGGTGGAGCTGCACTGCAGCTGCTGCAGGTCCCCTGAAGCCCAGCCTGAATTTCCAATTTTGAATTTGAATGAGGACCAATAAACTATTTATTAATTATTAATTATTAATTATTATTATTATTATTATTATTATTATTATTATTATTATTATTATTATTATTATTATTATTATTTTCGGAGTAGAGTTGAATAGCTCAGTGCTTAAGATGCTTGCCTTATGATCCCAGGGTCCTGGGTTCAATTCTTTTCACAGCAGGACATTTTCTCAAGACTAAAAACAACTCCACTCCCAAAGCCTAATAATGAGACTTGGTTTATAAAGCATCATTCCATACTGTAAGTGGCGAGTGTACTTGCTGTTGGATGTGAAGGAAATAAAAAAAAAATGTATTATTATTATTAAATGTACATTAGTATGACATTGAGTAATTACTTTTGTGCTATATTGAACACTTTAAAGGTCCTGTTTTACACTTTATGTTACTTTTATTGATTGTATATTGTCATATTTAAGTTTGTTAACTTAAACAACATTAAAATAATAATAATATATATAATTATTTAATGACATAAAATAAGAGTTTTGAAGATTTGCTAAAAAAAAAAAACAGCTAAAAAAAACCCAGCAGAGTCAACAATAAATTATTCATCTTGTTTGATTATAAAGATGTACTGTCCCTTGAAAATGACCAAAATCATAAAAAATAATTTTTAAATTAACTTGCTCATTTTGCAGTAACATACAAATTATTAACTTGAGCATAGAAATTATTCAATTAAAAAAATATGTTCCTTGATTTTTTAATTGGATAATTATAAATAAAGATTAGTGACTGGAAGTTTCTATCATTTTTTTGCTGCAAAATGATGGTTTTTTGAATACACTAATTTCTATATGTTCAAGTTGATAATTTTTATGTTACTTCAAAATGGACAAGATAATTTCAAAAATGTTTTTTTATGATTTTCTTTTTTCTTGTTTTTTGCCTTGTTTCATGTGTGCATGTGTACATCAGAATACAATACTAGCAACATAATGCAAACATGTAGTGAGCAAACATGCATCAACGCATTCAAGACCGTAACATTTTTTGCCTTACCTTTGGTATGAATGCTTTACACATACGGAACATGGACTTAATGTTGATATCAAACGACAAATCCCAGTCAGATTCCTGAGTCTCCAACAAAGTGCCATTAAACACCCATCTGTAATGGAATAATCCATATACATAGAATTTGTGGGTACTGTATCTGAATTTGTTAGTGCCCAGGTAGTCATGAGACATGCCCTTGGTCCTTGGTCTACCAATACATAATGTTTTTAGCAGCAAATTTATAAAGATTTATATGGTAAAGAGTAGAAATCTGTGAGTGGATTTTAGCCCAGGTTCTTCTGCTGCCTGTGCAGACACAAATAATGTACAAATTTTTTATGTTAAAGAAAGGAATCTGTAAAGTTTCCCCAACCAGGAATCAAAACCAGGACCTTTTGCAATCCATGCAAAACCAACTGGGCCACTAAGGCTTTGTTGGGAATTCAAACTTAATTAGAAGTTCTCCACTCTAGTTGCACATGTGTGGAACAATAGTTCTCCATGAATTGCATATTTACTGTAGTGTACAGCTATAAATTTGATATGGCCTCATCTTAAGCATGATCTCCCGTAAGAGATACATTTTGTAAACAAATTATGGTACAATAACATAAAAATAATCACTAGACCTGGACAACTAAGTCTTCAATGGGAATTTAAATCCAATTAAGCAGTCATTCACAATTATTAACATTTTTGCAAGTGTACAAACAGTACTCTTTTTCAGTACCTGTCACTCCCTTCCGAAAGTGTACATAAAAAACTATGACATTCTAAATTTTTTTGTAAAGTCAACTAAACTACTGTAATTTTACATAAAAAATGTATATTTTAACCATGATTGCATTATAATTGATCACAAAAATCTATTTGTTTTAATATATATTGCATGTTATTTTGAATCAACATTTTCATGCATGGTAAAAGTGTACAAATTTGTCTACCCCGTCTCCCTAGCGTACCATTTGTACACCTGTTGATAATTGTGAAAGACCTCTAATGCAACCAATCTTTCAAACTTTCTTTGCACATGCATACAGTAGTTTACAGAGCACCTATCAGCACCACAAGTAACAGGGGTCAATATGAAAACCCCTATCTTAATAAAACAGACTTCAGAAAACATTTTTGATATAAAGGGAAAATTGGAGTTTTATAGTAGCAAAATTTTCATATATTCAAAGGCAGCCTATTTAACAGTAATTATACAATACTGCATTGTATAATTTACTGTACACAAAGCTACCAAAATAGAATTACATTTTTCAAAATTCATGTTACAGTAATAATTTCATTAGTTACATTACTAGACTGTGTAGACTGGACTAGACTGTTTTATGATTACAATTTGTATTGGGTTTTGATATTTAAAACCATTTATTTATTTTGACCATATGTATTATATTGAAATGTCAAGTATTATATATATTCTTTCTTTTCTAGAATAGCTGGAAGGGTCACTCTCTTTATATTTTAAATAATATTACCCTGCGCAGTTGAATAGCACATGAACTGTATCAATCTCTTTTGCAAGGGCATTCACATCTTCATTGCTGGTAACGTCTAGTTTTCTGGTGATGACACCTGCAAATTTTGGAGTGAAAAATCAAATGAAATTTAATTACATTTTTTTAAATTTATCATTCAGAATAAAATGGAAAAAAAAAACAAGATTACAATAGTGTTTAAAACAGAATCATCCTAGAAACCCAATAGAAGTTGTGTTTTTTCACACATGTAATACCGTATAAAACAGAATCGCAAAACATTTAACACAAGAGGTAATCAACTTGATAAACTTGATATAATATAGAAAATATACGATTATAAGAACCCTGTATAATTTTTTTTTTATAAATACAGTACTTGTATGTAAGATAGACAATCATTATGCCAAATGAATACGGTACATGTAAATAGGTACCTGTACAACTATAGTAACACAGAACAATATTAATTAAATGAACAAATTGGTAGGCCTATTGGAATGGTGTGAGGTTCTTAACAGAGACAAAGTAATACTCTATAGTTCTAAGAAAAAAGGTAGAACAATGTCAAATATACAATAAAGTATAAAAACATAAATTATTATTAATTTACACAAATCTCAGGATCATGCAGTACAATTCATTTTTAGAATTTAGGTAAGCATACCTTTAACTCCGTTTAATTCATTTAATTTTTCAACATTGATATCAGTTGCATACACAGTAGCACCTTCCTTTGCAAAAGCCTTAAAAATATAATCAGAAAGTGGCTAATATTAAACAAAAAAAATATTAAAATAAATATTGTATTGAACTAGTTTAAAAATAATATTAAAGTAATAAATGTGTCCCAAATCTGCAGTGTTGCAATACAGTGAATAGTTGTTTTTCAATATAGTATAGCCTTACAGTACAGTTCATGTGAGTCAAACCTAAGAACCCAGGGTTATATGAAAGCAAGATTCTTACTGCTGTCAGGGGCAGATTTACCTCCCTTTTGGGAGGTAAAAAAAAGAAAAAAAAAGAAAGAAAAAAAGAAAGAAAAATAAAAAAAATGATGATAGCCCACAACGCCTCAAATGTTATTTTCGGATTTCGCGGGGGGGACCCCCTAGGACATTGTTGTCTCGATCGGCCCAAATTTCGTACACCCCCCTTTCGGGCCCCCCCCTTTTGGACATCTCTGGATCCGCCCCTGGCTGTTGCCAGAAAAACATGTATTTTCCTCCTCAGACAACAACAAACATAATTAAAGAGCATTAAACAGTACTAATTAAATTATTTTTAGAAAAATGATAGAAAGTATTATTTAGTTAAACGGAACTGCTATTTTCTTTGTAAACCATCCAAATTAGGAAGTTTGACAAAAGAAAAAACTGGGAAACTCAGTGCATGAAAATTTAACTACTGTAGCTTGATAGAATTTATTCTGGGATATCAAATAAGTACGCAGAAATAGAGCAAGGCCTAATTATATGCACAATACACGGGAATGCATAATTGCTCATCAATATTTTTAAAGCAGTATTATATTTTTACACGTCGAGTCTTAAACAAAATGTAATAGAATGAATATTCTTAAGATAACGTAAAAGCAATGAAGTGCGCCCTCATCTGGAGGCACCACTGCGTAAATCAAAACATGGAAAGGGGGTTTCTCTGTCCCTGCTCCAGCGTGACCACTGCTTGGGTATTTACCCAAGATCTTGGGTATTTTGACTTGGTCTTGGGTTCTTGTTTTTCCGTTCAAATCCTTGGGTATTTTATTTTTACTAAGAAAATTAAATATTTTTGTCATAGAGGAAGAATTAAGAAGTAACAAAGTATATTTCAGTCCACTCAAAGATTCAAGTAAGCAAAACTCAACGAAGTGCACATAACATTGTTAATTGACTGTTAATTGCTATAAACATGGGTTCAGAATTGTTTATTTGTGATTTGTGTTGCCATTGATCTTACCTAATTTATGTATTACATAATAAAACTTGATCACTGATCTTCACTGATAACACTGGCCGACTGAGGGCGTATTTTTCTATCCGTGAATATTAATTTTACGAAGTGTCTATGCTTACGCCGAGTCATAAGCATTAGGTGGCTATGCTTACGCCGATCTATTGAGCATGCGCAGGGCTGGCGTAAGCATTATATAGTGGCTATGCTTACGCCGGATTGCTAGTCAACGTAAATAGTCAACTCGTTGATCTGCTTACTATTTCACGTT